GCACCATTTCAACTTGGTTTGTGTAACTGCTGAAAATGATGTGTATTGCCTCTGGTCACTGGAGTGTGATGCTTTGCATACTTAAATGATGTGTGAAATATGTGAAGCAATAATTCATGGGCCTATACATGTGTGCTAATTTTATAAATCGCATAATATACTGCATTTTGATTAGTGTGTGTGTATTAAACTAAACAAACGTTGCTTAGTCCATAGATCTGCTGGGAGGATGTTTTACAAATAACATTAATGGTTTTAATGCGTTATTGAATGCATTTGTGCTTTTGTTTGTTTTTGCCCAAGGGGGATAATACCCTGCCTCTCAACCCAGTGTCAACAAACCTCCGCCGTAAGACTGTTCACACATGACCCAATGAAATGCATTTTGCCTCAGGAAATTTGGAAATATTCCGTCTTCCAATTACCAGCTATGTTGCCATGGCTTTCTGCCTATTTGTATGTCATTTCTTATTAATGCTTTCATAAACATATTATTTCATATGTAAACTAAATGGAAGCCTCAGCATATTATACATGAAATACATATACAATTCGACATATAAGTGAAATGCCAAGAATGCTGTGTATTTGTATGGACAGTATACATTGAAATTAGTGCAGTATTTTTTTCCTGGCACATCCTTTCCAATCTCTCACAAAGTGGTGCTAATCAAGTTCAATTGAACCTTACTGCCCTCCCGTCCCTCTAAACTTTCTAAGCATTTATTCATGCACTCGCCATTTCCTCATTCCTTTGCGCTCTTCCCCCTAAATTACTGGGAGGTGATATACAGTCTGGGTGTCCCAAGGCTGCAGGAGATTTAGAACTTTGTCCCATGTGAAGGAGAGGTGAGAAAAGACATTACTATGCAGAATAGGTAATAGTGAAAAACGCCAGAGCTCTTTATGGTGCCCCATGCAGTTTATCAATCTATTTGTGTAACTTGGCTACCCAGAATTTCATTTCCCTTTTCATTTATTTGCCTTGCTGCAACCGTTTACACTGCCGAAACTGAAAATTGAAGCCATGACGAGCAAGGGAGCAATATTCCAAGGGCAAAATAGGCCTCTTCTGCTGTATGATTGCAAAGGTTCATTTGGAGGGGGGG